CTTTGATCCTCCCACCGTCAGCCCGTCCGTCTGTCCTGCTGCAGCGCCAGCCGGCTTCCTCCTCCCGAGGACTTGGAAACAGCTGGCTCCCGCCCCCGCCCTGGGGCTTCCCAGCCCCACGGGGCCTTGGGACACGCTGCCGGTGGGCGCCTGCCCTGGGGACCGGCTTTCCCGGGCGCCCCGCCTTCCCGGCCTGGTCCCCGTGGGGGCGGGGGGCACTGGGGGAGGGAGGGCCGGCCGGCCGGGCGGGGCGCCCGGTTATTCCCGGTCCGCCCGGGGGCGGGGCCTCCTCCGTGTCCTGCTGGGGGGGCTCCCACGGGCGGCAGGCCGATAAAAGGGCCCCAGGGTGCCCCAAGAGGCCCGTTAGCCCTGCACGGCGGAGCCTCGGCCCGGCCCCAGCCCGGGCTGCAGCCCCGGACCTTCCTCGTTCCAGCTGGTGAGCTCCCGCCTGGCCTGGCCCCAGGTCTGCTTCTTACTGCGCTGTCTGTCCTTCTGCCTCTCTGCAGGTCTGTAAGCCCCTAGAAGGATCTTGTCTTGGAGACTGGGAAGGATGGGAGGTCTTAAACGTACAGCCCAGCCAGGCAGTTGCTAACTCCCTAGTCGCTCATTAATCCACTTTTAATTGAGAAAAAAAGACCATATTTGGGAGTGTGCTTAAGGCATGCGGTGGTGCCCCAGCTAAGTGTGTGCTGCTGTCGTGTTTATTACACGTGGATAACCTTTTCTCTGCCTTCTAACCAGGGTCAAAGGGGTCCTGGGAATGAAAGGTGGGCTCAAATGTCACTCCTATGACCTGGGGGGCAAAGAGGCAAGGAAGAGCTGGGACCACCAACTAACCAGGGTGGATTATGTTCTGTGGAGAAACGGGTTTCCTGGAGGGTTCCACACAACACACACACTCTCTCAGAAGCTTGAGCCAGTAGATCTTAGAGCAGGTTTTGGCAGCTGCCTCTAGGCCCGCAGGAGGGACACCCAGGCAGGGAGGGTGTGAGCCATCCAAGCTGGTGCCCACCAGGGCGGCACCTCCAGTGCTTAATGGCCTGATCTCCTTGGGCATTGCCCTCTCCACCCTCCCCGTTTGGGCCAGGTTGAGGGCCAGTGTCTCCTGGCAGCACCTATAGCAGCAGGTGCCTGTCTGCCTCATGCTGCAGGGTCCTGGACCTGTCACTTGGTTGGGCTCAGTGCTGGCACCCGCGCTGGTGCCCTCGCTCTCATCCTGGGTCATAAATCGGCCAGCAGCCGGGTGGAATTTCATTCAGCTCCTGGCTCCCTTCTCACTTCCCCCGCCCCTTCCAGCATCCCAAGTCTCCAGAGGTGAGAGCTCTGGGTGTGCTGCCAGATTGCTGGCTTTGAACCTGGCAGGGCATGTCATTGACATTTTCTGGGGCTCATCTTCTAACTCGTCAAATGGAGAGATATAGCCAGTACTCCAGATGTGGTCATATTATTATTATAAGGAGCGTTGGTGGTACAGTGGTTAAATACTTGGCTATTAACCAAAAAAGGTTAGTGGTTCAAACCCACCAGCCACTCTTTGGGAAAAGTATATAGTGGTCTGCTTCCATACAGATTCACAACCTTGGAATCTCGATGAGGCTTTATATCTGTCTTGTAGGGCCCCTGTAAGTAGAAATCAACATAAGAGCAGTGTATTTGGTTTTATTATTAACCTCTTATTTTAACCCACATCTCCCTTTCACTCCACCTCCTTCATCTTCTCCACCCCTTTCTCCTTTGGGAAGAAAACTGCCACTTTTAAGGCTGCTTCCTTCTCTGGGGAAAGATTTTCAGCCCCTTTTCTTGTGGTCAGTGCTGGAAAAACAGATAGGAGCGGACACAATGCCTTCCCTGGTTGTGGAGACAGGAAGCAAATATGGAAAGTGTGGAGGAGAGACTTCTAAGAGGAAAGGGTGGGCAATCTCCTCTTGTGTGATTTATAGCCTCTGAAAACCCACTGGGGGGGGGCGGGATGTGCCTATGAAATGATACTGATTCATTTGCAGTGAGAGAGAGGAAGAGAGCTAGGAAGGGGGGGACTGGGAGGGCTTAATAGAGGAAGTGGCATTTGAGTCGGATGTTTGTTGAAGATGTGTAATATCTTTCAACAATATAACTAGACTATTCATGTTATTAACTCTGTGAGTTTAACAGTATGAGCTAGAAGGAACAGTGGGAGCAAAGGCTTGGAAACTAAGAAAGCAAGGCAGTTTGGAGCTTGGGGAGAAGACAAGTTTAGTATAAGCAAAGGTGAAGGGGGACCTGCTGGGGACAGGCCTTTCTCTCCATTCACCTCCTATGCAGTGTCATCACTGGGGCTGATATCTCAAATTGTGCCCCACCCTGCTGTGGGATAGGTCAGCACCCTCCATTCCACTCCTCCCCTTTCCCATTGATGGAGGCAGAGACCCTGATTGGCAGGTGACATGGGAGAAGGTGGCAAGTTGCTGCTTTGAGAGGTGGGTGACACCAAATCTCATCATACCACTGTGTGTGGTCCTTCCCCTCACAGTGCCACCTTCCTGCCACCACTGTCGACTCTGGAATCGTTTTGGCCATCCTCTCTGACACTGTCAGGGGTACCATCTCTGGGGCTGGCTTCCCTGGGCTCTCTGAGGGAGCTCTGATACCCTCGTGGTGAGGAACTGCACTGCCAACCTAGAGGTATGAGGTTCTAATCCACTGGATGCTCCATGGGAGATAGTCTCCTCCTGTGTGATTTAGTGCCTCTGGACAATCAGTTATGCCTAAGTTCTGACTCATCAGTACACGATAACAGCAACAATAACAGAGTTGTTGGGGCCCTTCCTTGCCCAGAGAAGTGTCTTAGAGAGCAGGGAGCCTGTGAGTGGATGCTGTCCATGGCCTCTCACAAGAGCTCTGCAGTGCGGTGCAGACCTCAGTCACAAGAGCAGGAGGTGAAGTCTACTTCCATTTCCTCCTTTGTATAGAAGGTGTGGGACCAACTTAGACCAATGACTCGCTGTTGTTGCTCTTGGGTGCCGTCAAGTTGACAGCAACTCCTAGCGATCCTATGAACAATGAGCCCTGCCCTGTCCTGTGCCACTTTCATCATCTGTCTTATACTTGAGCCCATTGTTAAAGTCACTGTGTCATTCCATCACTGTGAGGGTCTTCCTCTTCTATGCTGACTCTCCACCTTTCCAAGCATGATATTCTTTTCCAAGGACTGATCCCTCCTAACCACACATCCAAAACTGTGAGACGAAGTTTCTCCATTCTCGCCCCTAAGGGGCCCCTTGGTTGCACTTTCTCCAAGACTGTCCAATGACTGTAATAGCTCTTATTGTCTCACTCGTTGCTGTTGAAAGAGCAGTGGTAGCTCAGTGGGTAAAGGGGTTGTACCGCCAAACCCAAAGGCACACAGTTCAAATCCATCAGCTACTCTGTGGGAGGAGGGGCAGTTTCCTTCCTACTCATCAGACTGAGCTCCCTTGAGAATCCAGCACTGAACCCGGAAAGGACTCTGGCCTTCTCCATTCCCACTTAGAACCCACTGTTCCAGGCAGTCCTGGAGCCCCACTGGGGGTCTGGGCAGCAAACCTGACTTGGGTGAGCCTGCGGCACTCCCAAGGTCTCCAGCAGCTGTAAACAGCTGTGACCCTATTTCTCTCTCCCATTCCTCTTGTATCAACGCCAAGACTGCTAATGTGAGAGAAAGAGAGAACCAGCCCCCCAGCTCATTCCCTCTAAGCACCTGAAGCACATCTGATGGCAGCCTCCTCCTGTAGGCGGCCCTCTCTGATGCATGTGCAGTACCTAATACCTACCTGCCCAGGCCCCTCCACTCCTGCAGCAGGAGGTCAACCCTCTGTACTTCTGTCCCTCAGTCCCTCTGCCTCTTCACGCTTCTCCAGGCTCCCGACACTGTGGCATGAGACTGCAGGAAGACAGGCTCCCAATTTCCCTCTTTCCTCCTTTGTCATATTGTCCTCTCTACCTGGAATCCCCCTCTTCTTACCTGGGAGAAGTCACTCATCTGACAAAGCCCTGGTTAAGGGCCCTTACTCTGAAAGGCTTCAGTGCGTCTTCTTGAGCTTATGACAGTCGGCACGGTGTTTGACTTTTCCTCCAGCACCTGCCATAATTGCATGAAGTAAATATTAAAAAAATGTTGTTGATGTGTGAGTCATGCACCTAGATGGGCCACGAGGCTGTGGGTAAAGATCCTGGGGGAGGCCAGTATGAGGCAGTACTGTGGGGTAGGTGTTATTGACCTGACAGCACCCTGGACCCTGGAGGCTCCTCCATGATTCAGATGGGAAGCCACCTAGTCTAGTTACAAATAAACCTCTGTAAACAAACAAAAAACCCAAACCAGCTACTGCCAAGTTCATTCTGACTCCTGGAGACCTAAGCATTGTAGAACTGAATTGTATATCCTGTAGGGTTTTCAAGACTGTGATCTTTAAGAAGCCCATCCCCAGGCCTTTCTTCTGACAAGCCTCGGGGTGGGTTCAGACTACCAACCTTTTGCTTAGTGGTCCAGTGATCGATGGTTTGTGCCACTCACAAATAGCTATTTTTAATCAGGTATGGTAATGTGCTAAGCCTGTGCTATGTACTATACGTCTATGGTTTGCTGTTGTTGTTTTAAGATATAAAGATAGATATATTAGAACATTATGTCCCAAAAGACGGAATGGACCTCCCTCCTTAGGAAGTAAATATGCAGGAGGCTTAACGTATATCATTTTATTTAACATTTGTAATGACAATGTGAGGCAGGCATTATCATTCCCATTTTACAGTTGAGAAGATTGAGACTTGGTCTCAAGGTCCTATAGCCAATGAATTGTACATTTGAGCCAAAGCTGCTAACCTGAGAGCACAGGCTGAGTCAGAGACACCCCACATGACACTATAGGAGGAATCCTGCAATTCTTTTTCCTGCAGCTGCCTGGTGGTGTGGAGGTGGTGGGCAGCAGGCCAATAGTGTTATGTTTATTCATTCTCTAGGTGCCTTGGCCCTAGAAGTCACCATGATGTGTTTCCGACAAGTCACCCTTTCCCTGATTCTGCTGCTACTGGGCCAGGCCACACCAAGCAGGCTGCAGTCACTGGGTGCCACAAAGCTACGGCTGGTGGGCCCAGGGAGCAGGCCAGAGGAGGGCCGGCTGGAGGTGCTACACAATGGCCAGTGGGGCACTGTGTGTGATGACAACTTTGCTCTCCAAGAGGCCACGGTGGCCTGCCGCCAGCTGGGCTTTGAATCTGCTTTGACCTGGGCCCACAGTGCCAAATATGGTCAAGGAGAAGGTAAGTGACCAGTGCTGCCCAGGGGGATAAGGAAATGGCAGAAGGCTTTTCTTGGAGACTGGGCTTACAGAGGCCCCACGGAACACACCAAACTCTCCTTCAACCTATAATATTTGTTGTTAAGTGTCGTCAAGTCGTAGAATACTCATAGTGACCCGATGAACGAAAGTCCTAAACATGCGGAACTTTCATCGTTTCTCCAAGTTCATAGAGTTTCTGGAGGCAAGCTATTTCAGAAGTGGATGCCACTCCTGATTCTAAACTTGTTTTAATTTGAGAGCTCCACCAAACACTGTCCACCATGGGTAACCATTATTGCATCTGTCACATCAGCGTCACAGTCATCTTATAATACCCAGCTCAAATAACCTCCTCAGTAAAGCACTTCCCAGGTACCCAGGTGCAAATGACCTTTACTCTGTCTCATTTTCTTTTTTAATGAAGTCAATACCATCACCATCAATAAGCTCTTAAGTTCCGTACACATTATACTTGGCACATGGTGTGTGCTTAGCAAATATTGTTGCATAACAGACAAACAAGTGGGTCTAGTTACGAGGTGGGCATAGGCTAGCATTTTCCAAAAACAGATTCTCTAAGGCTTGATGCCAAGAGGAGGGCTGTGGCACCAAGATCCCAAGAGAACTATTCCCCAGTTCCTATTCAAGTTAGAATAGGAAAGATGACAAGAGTGGGTCCTATGGAAAAGGCAGGGTCCATAACCGGCCTCTTGTAGCTCATCCCCGGGCACCACCTGCCCCTCATCTGCAGGTCCCATCTGGCTGGATAATGTGCGCTGTGTAGGCACTGAGAGCTCCCTGGATCAATGCAGCTCTAATGGCTGGGGCATCAGCGATTGCAGCCACTCAGAGGACATCGGCGTGGTGTGCCACCCCCAGCGCCAGCGCGGCTATGTTTCCGAGAGGGTCTCCAATGCCCTCGGGCCCCAGGTGAGGAGGCTCTTTGGACGTGGCCTGAGCCTAGGGGCTAAAGGACTGGACCAAATATCAGGAACTTCTGGGATGGTGAACCTAGAGGAGGGTGAGAACAGGAGCAGGGCCTGGGGCTCCACTCTTGTCTGAGGCTGAGGCCCCTCTTCCTGCCCAGGAACAGGTGCCTGGATAGAGGGTCCTGACTTGATGTGGGCACAGACTCTAAAGCTGGGCCTGCTGGGAATCTCAGAAGCTGCTCCTTAGATGAGGGGGGCAGGAGGACAAGGGGCTGTCACACCCACAAGGTTCAGCCACAATTGGTGCCTCTTCCCAGCACAAATAACCCCGAGCTAAAAACAGATCAGGCCAAACAACAGGAGTGGGCAGGGCAGCCTCAGGCTCCTGCAGTCTCCTGCCAGGCAAACTCCGGCCTGGGGACATTGACCTAGGAGCACTGAAAGTGACAGGCCATGATGAGGGTATTATATTTGTGCTAGTTCCCCTAGGGTTAGGGTCCTTGCTGTGTATTCCTAACAGCCTCTCTGGTCCCTCAGCTCTCCCCTGGAAGGGAGCTGAACCCCTGATTTCTCCTCAAGGAGAAGGCCCTAGAAAGCCCTAGTCTTTCACCAAGTGACTTTCACAACTCCCCGTCCCCAAGCCCGGGGTCTCAGTTTCCCAGCCTGTCTCTTGAATAGGTTGGGTGGGATGATCATTGGGCTCAGCAGGTCATGGTGCCATGGACAGCTGTGCACTCACAGGGTCGGCGGCTGGAGGAAGTGAGACTCAAGCCCATCCTGGCCAGTGCCAAGCGGCGGAACCCAGTGACCGAGGGGGCTGTGGAGGTCAAGTATGAAGGACAGTGGCGGCAAGTGTGTGACCAGGGCTGGACCATGAACAACAGCAGGGTGGTGTGCGGGATGTTGGGCTTCCCCAGCCAACAGCCCATCAACAGCCACTACTACAGGTAGGAGGGTCAGGGGGATGGGGAGAGTGAGTGAGTGTGTGTTGTGTGAGTGTGACCTTGCAGAATGCTTTATAACTAGGCAGGGTGGGTGTCAATGAGACTCACCTGGATTTACAAACCTCTCAGAATCATTCTGAGAAAATTCTCAGAGAGATAGATGAATACTACAAACCAAACCAGTTAACCAAACCTGACTGCCATCTACTGAGTCCAACTCATAGTGACCCTACATGACAGAGTAGAACTGCCCCTTGGGGTTTCTAAGGCTGTGACTCTTTATAGACACAGACTGCCTCATTTTCCTCCTGTGGAGAAGCTGGTGGGTTCAAGCTGCAAACCTTCTGGTTAACAGCCTTACACTTTGCCCACTATACCACCAAGACTCCTGATGAACCACAAGACCCCGAGAATCTCTAAAAACAGTAGGAAAGGATACATTCTACTTGTCAATCAAGTAACAGGAAGTAGCTTTGGTACAAAACAGCCCTAGCATGAAAAGAATGGAATACACAACTTTGTGTCCCTGATTTAACAACTAGACTGCATTGAGGACACTGATAGTTCGGCCCACAAGCATAAAGGAACTAGGTTCTGGGCTCAACTCTGCCGGTAATTAACTGCTGTGGGGCCTTGAGCAGGGTGTTTGGTCCTTGATTATTCATTCCTCAGACAATGAGCTCAATTCTGGCCCCAACTAGGCTGTGACTTGGTTGTGTGTAAGTAAAGTATAGGGTGAGGCGGGTGGGGAAGAGAGGAGACAAAAATATTGTCAGAATGTGGCAGAGCTGTTGAAAGTCGATGACATCATCCCACAAGTGATGAGCACAGGTGTGCCAGGGAATGCACTGTACGCTTCTTTCCAGGGGAGACACCTCCCACAGCCCCATCTTCCCTCACCTACTCCTCAGCCTTTTCAGTCCTGCTGCATGGAAGGGGTTGGTCTCTGTGTCTGTAACTTAGGCCACCCTGAAGGAGGGGTACCGGACGGCCATGTGGCAGCCACATGGCTGCATCCTTGGGGATGCTGGGCCGTGGGCCCCGGTCTCCTCACTGCCTGGTAATTGCACATCTGGGGCTTGCTGACTCATCCACCAGCCGTAAGGAGAACCGCTCTGATTATAGCCTGGGTGTCTTCTAGGGTGGGCAGTCCTGACAAGCAAGGTCTTCAACTTCCACCTGTCCTGAGAGGACCTTGTCCTTGGGTCTTCCTCCTGGGATTCCTCTAAAAGCTCCCCTTCCCCTGAACTGGAGGGAGGGCGAGCTGAGAGCTGCTCAGCCCAGGGGCCTTGTTAGGTTTTGTTTTCCTTCTCTCTGAAATGGCACTCGTTGCCACTTAACATGGGCTGCTGTGAGGCTCAGCACTGGAGGAAGAACTGTAGACAAGTTTATAGCTGTGACGTCCCGTTCAAACTTAGAGACAGGAGGAGCCGGAGGAGCCCCCGTGGCAAGGGATAGGCTTCTGTACTCACTCCTCCTCTACCTGTTTTCTCCCTGTTCAGGAAGGTCTGGAATTTAAAGATGAAGGATCCCAAGTCTAGGTGAGGAGCAGGGCCCATAAGGGAGGATGTTGAGGGACATGGCGGCGGGGAGCAAGCCAAGGGACACGGCGGGGAGGAAGCTGAGGACAGACCTCCCCTCAGTCTTGAAGCTCTTCCCTCAAACCTCGCCCCCCAACACCCTCTCTTCCAGGCTGAATAGTCTGACTAAGAAGAATTCCTTCTGGGTCCACCGTGTCACTTGTCTGGGGACAGAGCCTCACATGGCCAGCTGCCAGGTGCAAGTGTCTCCAGCCCGGGGCAAGTTGCGGCCAGCCTGCCCCGGAGGCATGCATGCTGTGGTCAGCTGTGTGCCAGGGCCTCGCTTCCGCCCACAAAAGGCAAAGCCCCCACGGCGCAAGGATTCCTGGGCACAGGTAAGCTTTATGGTCACCTCCTGGTCAGGAGGCACAGACACTTTTCAGGAGGTGTCCCAGAAGGAAGGGGGGATAGAGGACCACAGGAGGCAGGGAGGAGTTACCCATCAAGAAGGTGGCTTTGTTTCAGGCTGGGAGGAGGGAAGGAGTCACAGAAAGACAGAGCTGTGGGAGGCCAGAGGACTGACTTTAAAAGGATAGTTTACAGCCCTCAAAGAAGTGGAAAACTGTGTCCCCTGTCAGAAACAGAAGGAAACCATCAAAACTGTAAATAAAGTGTGGCTATGTCCAGCCTCAAGGGAGTTCTAGTGGGTAAGGAGGTGCGCTGCCAACCTGAAGCCACATGGTTTGATTCCACCCGTGAGATTGAACTGTTTCTGAAAGCCCACTGCAGGGTTAGCTATGGGGTGGTTCTGTCTCTACGTACACAGAAACATCATCTAATCTGGGGGGAAAGTCATGAACGTAACCCTTGGTTATAAAAAGGAGGTGAGCTAGTGAGGAAGCTATTGGTATCCAACGAGGACTGTCTCCTTGATGGAGTGGAGGGCATAAAAGAGAACACGGAAATACCTCTCCCTCTCTACTCGGGGAGTCATTTAATCAATACCATGTCCTTGTACTTCCCCACAGATCTCTTTGTGGAATGTTGATGTCAAAGGATAAAACTGAAGCCTAGGCTCAGAGATGGGAAGAGACCAGGCCAGAGTGTGCAGGTAGCAGGGTTGTGACATTGAGAGAGCTAATGTTTAGGGTGCAGTCATTAGCATAGAAAGCTGTTTTTACTGTTACTATTGTGATGGCTGCTATTAAAGTCTTCCACTTTGCCATTGAAAAAATGGGAGGCCCAAGGTCTAGTCAAGGTGGTACCTATGGGAAGTCAGAGGCAGGACTAGAACTTGGGCCTCCCAGCTGCTGATCCTGGGCTCAGCTCAAAGGGGCCTGCCCGGGGCTCCCACTGTGCCAGCCCAGCGCTTGCCTACTGGCTGGCTGGCCGCCCCTGAAGCCACTTTTGTCCAGCAGGAGCCAAAGGTGCGCCTCCGCTCTGGGGCCCAGGTGGGCGAAGGCCGGATAGAAGTACTCATGCACCATCAGTGGGGCACTGTCTGCGATCACAGGTGGGACCTCATCTCTGCCAGTGTCGTGTGCCGGCAGCTCGGCTTTGGCTCTGCTCGGGAAGCCCTCTTTGGGGCCCAGCTGGGCCAAGGTGAGTTGGGAGGGCCTGCATAAGCTACTGGTCTGTTCCTTGGAGCCCCGGACATATTAGGTCCCCTCTGTGGAGGGGAAGCCACAGTGCAGGCTACACAGATAGAACCTCACCCAGCACTTCCTCCTGTAGGACTGGGACCCATCCACCTGAGTGAGGTGCGCTGCAGGGGTTATGAGAGGACCCTCAGTGACTGCCGTGCCCTGGAAGGGTCCCAGAATGGCTGTCAACATGAGAATGATGCTGCTGTCAGATGCAATGTCCCCAGTATGGGTTTCCAGAACCAGGTGAGCTCAGTCTGTCTCAGGCTGGGGGCAGAGGAAGCAGGTTATCTGTGCTATCCCAGGGCATCACTTTCAGCCAGTGGGGAGGGGCCCTGGAGAGGCAGACTGTGCTTCTGCCATGGACCTACTTGGTCCTCGCTTGCAGCCAGCATGGAAACCCTCGCCTCTCCTGTTCCACCTGGCCTGACCTGCATCTCTCCGGACAGGCCTTGAGCTTCCAAAATGTCAGAGGGCCACAGGGGCTGCTCAGGTGGAAGCATGCTTCTGCCACCTCAGGTCACCCAAGACGCTGAGAGAAGATGGTGCACCTGGGGAGGGGCAGTGGCGAGAGTGGGTGGGAGCGAAGTTCTAGTCTCAGTGCTCACATGGCACCGGGCAAGTTACCCCCGCCTCTGACTCTGTCTTATGGAAGGAGGTTAACGGTCTCATGGATCAATGTGAATGAGGTGGTAGTTATGACGGCACTTAAAAGTGCAAGTTATAGGGAGCTCTGGTGGCCTAGTGACAAGAAGCTGCACTGCAATCCCAGAGGTATGTGGTTCAAATCCACCAGATGCTGTACTGGAGAAGGATAGGCAATCTCCTCCTGTACCAGTCACTCACTCACACACACACACACACACACACACACACACGCAATTTTTTAAAAAAATAGTTAAGAAAAAAAAGTGCAAGTTATTCCCTGCGGATTCTGGAGCGGATCAAGGAGGCTACACCAGAGCAGGAGCCCCTGGGCAGGCTCTATGAGTTGGATTCTCCAACAGCAAGGGCATTAGACACCATTCAGCAGACATCCAAAGGGAACCTGGAGCAGGGGACAGTGAGGTCCAGGGCCACATGGAGAGCCATTTTGAGGGTTTCCCTGGCTCAGGCTGTCCCTCCTCTGGTCACTGCAGGTGCGTTTAGCCGGTGGCCGCAGACCCGAGGAGGGAGTGGTGGAGGTGCAGGTGGAGGTGAACGGGATCCGGCGCTGGGGGGCCGTGTGCAGTGACCACTGGGGCCTCACCGAAGCCATGGTGGCCTGCCGGCAACTTGGTCTGGGTTTTGCCAGCCACGCCATCAAGGTAGGTCCCTGTCCCACTCCTTTCTGACCCCTCAGACTTCCAGACTGAGAAGACCAAAGCGCTTTGTGTCCAGGTTGTCCTGGCACAGCTAATGCTGTAGGCTCTTCATCCACTTATCCAGCAAGTAACTGAGGAAGAGGATGGACCAGATGAAATGCTAAGTGATGAAGAGACTGTGGTGAACAAGAAGAGAACCCCTACCTCACAGAATAGTCACGTGAGGGAGGCAGACATTAGTATGTTCACACAACTCAGTTCATAGTCGTGACTATAGAAAAGCTGACTAGCAGTTTGCCTGACAGGGTTGAAGAGGAGTTAAGAGCCCATGCAAAGGCCCAGTGGCCAGTGGAACTTTGAGGAAATATGGGACTAGGGATTGGAGTGTAGCCATCAAGGAGGAAGGTGGTATGAGTCTGCAAAGCCTGTAATCCTTGAAAAGATTTTTTTCCTTCTGGAGAATGGTTGGGGTGCAGGCAGACACACTCAAGCAGCTACTGAACCCCAGCTGAAGAAAGACGGGAGAGGCTAATGGCAGTTCAGATGGACATGAGTGGTGGAGCCAAGATATCAGGGACACACAGTCAAGAGGACAAGGGCACGAGGCAATGGGTGACCTTTAGTAACTGCACTCACTTGTGTGGAACGGTGCCTGGATGGCCAGCCAGGTCCGACCCTAAGCTCAGTGACATATTAGTCTGGACTGTGTGGGAAATGAGAATGACTAGTGAAGAGGAAGGGAATAGGACCCTGCTCTTCAGATAGTTGAGGGCCCCCAAGCAGGCGAGAGCAGGGAGGGCTCAGTGGTACAAGGCAGAGGTAGCTAGACTTCGGTCTCAACACGTTGATAAAAATGTCTAGTCCTCTGAGAGGCCCAAGAGTGGGGTGGATTGTCCTGGGGAGCAGGGGTTTCCACCACAAAGTCTTAGATGGAGCTCCGAGGGAAGTCAGGGAGTTGGCTCCCAGGGCTCTTCTCATCGCTGACTGGATGATGCTGGCTGTTTTCTCAGGACACCTGGTACTGGCAGGGGACGCCAGGGGCTGGTGAGGTGGTGCTGAGTGGGGTGCGCTGCTCGGGGACGGAGCTGGCCCTGCAGCAGTGTCAGCGGCACGGACCTGTGCACTGTTCCCACGGCGCAGGGCGCTTCTCGGCGGGAGTCTCCTGCACAGACAGTGAGTATCACGAGGAACCCCCAGTCCAGCATGCCCACTCCTCCGTCCCTCAGGGGAAGCTGAGACTTACCTACCTCTGTGGCTGGAGGGAGGGAAGGGAGCGAAGGCTGGTCTTGGAGCGCCAGTCATTTACTGGTAGCATGTGGTCAAGTCATGCATCTTGGGGCACAAGCCCTGTCTGACCTTCCTCATAGAATGACTGGGAGATTGACAAGAGAATATGTGAAAACCAAGGACACAGAACAGAGTTTCAATTTCTGGGTCAGAACCAACAGTTGAAAAGAAATCCCAATACCCTACAATAACACCAAAAACACTAGAGTGCATTACATTCCATCTGAATAGGGGTATTTTTTTCTGGACCACAATGTCTAATCTATTTCTTGCTGCTGACTGTAGTCTAAAGGGAAAAAGTTTGAGCACTACGTGCAGTAGAGGGCATGGAAGTGTTAAGGTGCACGCCCGACCCAGGACACAGGTGTACGTTCCCCTCCTGGGCCGTGTGACTTACCCAGAAACACTAATATGCCCTACAAACCCAGATTCTCAGGGCAGCAGCATATCTGGCCCCTGCCAACCTGGTCTGTGCCAGCATAGCTGTGCCCGGCCCAGCAGCTGACGGTCATCATCACCCGAGTGGCCATGTGACTGTCATTCCAGCCCCACTGCAACCCAGAGCCATTCTTAACTTTGCCGGCTCTGGAGTTTCCCTCAGTGTAGGCACGCCAGGAAGAACTCCAGACCCTGCTCCCACCCCAGTCCTGCTGGGTGATGCAGGGTCAGAGCGGTCTGTCCCAACACCTGGCTTCAGAGCAAGTGGGGGGCTGCTCCCTCCCTGGGAGCCTGGACCTTCCTCTGCTCTGCTGAGTGGCAGCTCTCGTGAACACATCTGACAGTGAGCTGACTGAGCAGCAGAATGAACTAGAGCACAACGCCCAAGCAGGCCTGGTGATGTCCGCTCTCAACTCTCCACTGGTCCCACCACCCGAAGGAATGAAGCCCCATAGAAAAAGAGAACGGCTTAGCTGAGGTAACCAAGCTGGCTGTCAGCACAGCTTACTGAGAGTGGCTGAATTTCAGAAGATCACGAAATCTTTCAAAGCACTTCTGAGCATCCTTGACCTCCAGCTTTTCAGTTTGCAGTCAAGTATGATAATGGTTTGTGCCACTGCCTGGATTTTCTGAGTCCTCCAGAAATCTCCAATGGTAAGGCTGTCCACCACGCCAGAAGCCCTTCTGCCCTGACCACACCCCGCTGTTCCGCAGGTGCTCCAGACCTGGTGATGAACGCCCAGCTCGTGCAGGAGACGGCCTACCTGGAGGACCGGCCGCTCAGCCAGCTGTACTGCGCCCACGAGGAGAACTGCCTCTCCAAGTCCGCTGACCTCATGGACTGGCCCTACGGATACCGGCGCCTGCTGCGCTTCTCCTCACAGATCTACAACCTGGGCCGGGCCGACTTCCGCCCCAAGACAGGGCGTCACAGCTGGATTTGGCACCAGTGTCACATGTGAGTGCCTGCCTTGGCCCTTAGAGGGTTAGGGACAAAAAGGAGTTAGGTCCTGAAAGTGTCTGGTCTTCTGCTGGCTGTGGGCCAGAGTCCCTGAGGCACACAGGTGCTGGTATAAGTCTCCCTTCAGGGAAACTCAATTATACCGCATTGGCTATCTCCATCTTTCTACCCACAGCCCCGCCAGATGTGCCCACGTTGATGGTCCTGGGGGTTCAGAGAGAGCAGTCATCACAAGCAGAGGCAGTCTGTTAGAGGGGTACTTGACAGTGTTTCTAGGTTAGATCTTGTCTTTAGAAGCCTAGTAGGGACTCCTCGGTAACCCGAGAGCCCAAAATAACCACCCCATCAGGTGCTGGTCTTGCAGAGTAAGCTGGCTGGTGTAGCTGCAGCAAGTCAAAACCCTCAAAGAACAGCGTGAGCAGAACAGGACTACAAAGGAGACAATGTGCATTCTTCCCGATTCTTTCCTATCAGGAGCTTCCAGCCCAGACACAGGGAGACAATGCCCGTGACAAAGGCAGAAGGGGGGTGAGGGGTGGGTGTTAAAATTTGTGCTTGCTTCAGGACACAGCAGTGGGTGGGGAAACCTCAAAGGAATGGGCACCAACTTTGGGACTTGGCCCTGTCTGGGATAATAGGCACCTTTCCCTGGACCATGGACAGAGTTGTCATTACAGCTGGGTTGAGAACAATGGTAACAATTTGATCCTAGGCTGGTGGGGAGCACGGTGAGGTCTCCTCCCGGCGGCTCAGCTCTTAGGCTGCTTTCTGGACGCATGCCCCGGCCTTCCACTTCCAGCCTGGACTTCGCAGCTAAGCACCTACTTCCTGGAGACTACCAGGGCACAGTTTTTAGGTCACCTATCCTAAGACCTTAGGGGAGGTGGCAGCTGTACCTTGCTGCCTGGCAGGGGTCTGGGTCATACTAATCTTGGGTTTGGGATGGAGGTGGGCACTGCCCTCCTATCACAGCGTTCCTCCTGGGTAGTGAAGGGGGTAGGACCTCCATCTCCTGCTAGCTGCTCCAGAGAGGAGCCTATCATATTGCTGCTGGGCTAACAGCCTGCTCTCTCCCGCAGGCACTACCACAGCATTGAGGTCTTCACCCACTATGACCTACTCACTGTCAATGGCTCCAAGGTGGCAGAGGGGCACAAAGCCAGCTTCTGTCTAGAGGACACAAATTGCCCTACCGGTATGTGGATTCCTATCAGCATGTCTATGGGAGAAATCCCACCTCTCAGGTTCTACTCCTTAGCCCCCCTGGAATCGGGCTCCCTCTGCCCTGGTCAGCAGCCCCAACACCGAGAAACAGTTGTAATCAATTTCTAAAACAGTAGCTGAAAGATCTCTACTTTTTCTTGAATGCTTGGCATTTCCTATCTTGGCTAATTGTCCTGGCTATGCTAAATTTGTTTCTGCTAAATTCTCTGAGGGCACGGATTGTTGGATTCATATTTGCATACTCACAGTGCCTAGCTCTTTGAAATAGCACGGTAAACACCAGACCTTTAGATGGACGGATGGATGGATAAGTGAATTAGCACAGCAGGGCTGAAACCTTCCAACCACATTTTCAAATAATCTCTTAGTCACAGATGTGGTTTGCTTCAGTGCTGGACTCCTATTTATGAGAACTTCTGGCTCTGATACTCAAAAGCTGGGTGACCTTGGGCAAATGATCTAACTAAACCTCAGCTTTGTCCCTAACCTGTGAAGTAGACACTGACACCTGTACCTTGTGGTGAGGTAAGGTTGGTTGGTGTGAGAATTAAATGATAAAGGGCATGAAAGAGCCAGCAGAGTGCTTAGTTCTGAGTACCCAGTCTGCTCCTCTGTAACCGTCCACACTTCTCACAGGACTGCAGCGGCGCTATGCGTGTGCCAACTTTGGGGAGCAGGGAGTGACGGTAGGCTGCTGGGACACCTACAGGCATGACATCGACTGCCAATGGGTAGATATCACAGATGTGGGCCCTGGAGACTATATCTTCCAGGTAAGGGGATTGGAGCAGGGCTGGGGGACCCCTCCCAAGAACCTCATCTCTTTTAGAAGTTCCAAAAGCTTCTCTGAGGCCAAATGAAGGATTTCCTTCACAGTCTCCAACTAGTCTTCCCCTGGAAGGGCCTGATATAGAGGGGAAAGAATACTCAGTCAGGATCCAGAGGCTCTGGGTTCAAGATTAAGGAGGATTAGAGACACTTTGTAGACGACGCATGTAAAGAATTACTAAGCTACTGTCAACTCACTCAGAAGCCAGATCATCAGTTTCAGTTGTCTCCTGTCATTCCAGGTGGTTGTAAACCCCAAATTTGAGGTGGCAGAGTCAGATTTCTCCAACAACATGATGCAGTGCCGCTGCAAGTATGATGGGCACCGGGTCTGGCTGCACAACTGCCACACAGGTAACCTGGGCCATTGTGGGACCAACAGCGGGCAGCTGGGAGCCTGGAGCCAAGTGTGACACGTGTGTGCATGCGTGTGCAAAAGTATAGGGATGGCTCTCCTTCGCTGTCTTTATAGGGAGATTTCTAGAAAATCTACAAACACCAAGCTCATTTATCAACTACTTTTATATCCTCCTTGCTCTCATCTGCTTCAGACTCTTGCCCATCACCTTATGATGTGAGGATCTTCTCTTCTCTGGTCTGTTGGGGTTTTTTCTCCCTCCTCCTTTTGATAGTGCCTTTCTCAGTTGCCTCTATCCTAAACTGACTGCCTGCCTCACAGGCAAAAGCAGAAGCCCCCACCATCTGTGCCGGCTTCTTCAGCTGTGCCCAGCATTTGCAAGAAGGGGGCCATGGAGAATAGGGCACTAGACATTTATAGCGCTGGTACAATCAGGAAAAGGGAGAGCTGGTTCAGTAGAGGGCACAGTAAGAAGTTCTTGTATATAGAGAGGTGCCAGTGCTTCCATCGTTCAATTTTTAAATGTCTGTATATGCAGTAATACCTACATGAAGGAGTGGTGGGTAAAATTGCTCAGTCAGTCAGCAAATATCAGCAAATATTAAGCCCTATTACTGTGTGGACACTGTGCCAAACACTGTGAATACAGAGATGATACAAGAGCTAAGACATTCACATAGAAACCCACAATACTAGTTGGTGTCAAAACCCAGGCATTGACTGTTAGGTATGTACAGAGGGGAAGCAGTAATCTGGCTGGAAAAGGTTTGACAGAATATGAGATATTTCAGCTGGGTTTCAATAAGGGACAAAATCCATAGAAGGCGGTAGGAAGCACAATCAGGATGGTTTATTGGGTCCTAAACCCAACACTACCACTTTGTATCCTGAGAGACTTCCTCTTCTGCAGTATGGAGTTGAGCCTCTCAAAAGCCATTCAAGTTCTCTGCAGGAACAGTTATCAGAGTTCTTCTAAAAGAATGGAATTTTATCCTGTGGGAATCTGGGAACCATTGAAAAAATTCACTTGAATTAGATTTATGTTTTCCAAAGATAACTCTGGCAACAGATGGGAGACAGAGTAAGAGGAGAAAGAACTAGCCCAAGGATTCTAATTTGTGTGACTGGGTAGATTTTGCTGCCATTAAGTCAGACAGGGATGAGACTCGGGAATCTGGAAGCTGAGACAGGAGAAAGCAGATACTCCACATGCTGGAGCCAAGGCTGCAAGGGAACCAGGAGTGATGAGGGAGAAGAAAACACGTCATTTCCGCAGATCCCTTTACCAACAGTTAAAGAAGAAAAAAACAAAACCAACCCAACCACGCCTGACCTGTTGCCTTGGCAGTGCTGTGGCTAAAGCACCTGGCTGCCAACTGTAAGGCCGGCCAGCAGTTGGAACCCGTGAGCCACTCCACAGAACGATGCAGCAGCCTGCTTTTAGAAAAGGGGCCCGTGGAAAACTCTACGGGAGGCACATCTACTCTGTGCTATTGGGTCCCTATGAGTAGAAGAGATCTCTGTACGTCAGGACCCTTGTAAAAGCAGGAGGCCTAAATAAGTGAGTCTGAAGCTATTTCATGAAAGGACCATTTGGAGAAGGGTGCAGAGGATCAACAAGGGCACTGAGATACTCAGATTCCTAGAACTGCAGGGCCTGAGCAGGGGAGAAATACCCAGCCTCTCTCTTCTAGTCTCTCCTTTCTTGCTGTTGCTTTCCACTGACCTAACCTGATCCGAAACCTGAGGGCCAGGGAGTCAGTCTCCCAGGGCACAGAAAGAACAAAGAGCAGAGAAACCTTCTGGGGAGGGGACAGAGAATAATCAGCACAACTGAGCACCCATTGAACAGTCTGTTCTCAATTTCCCTGAAATGAAATCCCTGTCCTGGGCCTGTTTCTATTGAAATGGTTGATGCTCATGCCAGTGACTGATCTGACGGAAGGGATGAAATGGGCAGGGATGAGCCTGCGGCAGGGTTCCTGACTCTGTTTCCCGTCGGCCCACAGGGGATTCATACCGAGCCAATGCGGAGCTCTCCCTGGAGCAGGAGCAGCGTCTTCGGAACAACCTCATCTGAAGCCATCACTATACTCAGTTGCTGCCCACACACCAGATACCTCAGCTTATTGAAGCCATGCCCTTGACAGAGCCCTAACTCAGAGGGAAAGGGGCTTGTGCCAAGGGGCACCAAGAATCTGCTCAGGAAGCCTTTGGAAGGCGAGATCCTCAAACCAGGCTGCCACTGCTCCCTCGGGATGGTGCTGGGCCTATTCACGAAGGGTCTCTGGCCTATGGCTTCCAGACTTTATTCACTGAGCTTCTCTTCCATAAGGAGTCTGAATCTTTTCTAGATTTTCCCCAAGTTCCCTACTCCAGAAGTGCTCAGTTCTTTAGGGATGGATTGTGGACCAAGTATTCATCTTAATGGCGCTTTGCAGATGGCCTGGAAGAACAAGACAGACGACCAAAATACACAGTTGAGGACCAGCTCTTTGCTCAGACCATCACAACTCGTGCCGAAGTTAACCAGAGGGGAAATTGGTGAATTCAGTCTCTCACTTTCTTTGTCCTCATCCTTCATACTCTAAGTTGGTTCTTTAGGGTTTTCTTCTTTTATCCACCACACACATAGATGTTTTTAATACTGCTGGAAGCTAAGGCCTCAGCCATCTCCCTTATCTTCTCATTGGCTAACACCAGAGGTCAGTGAGTACATGACAAGAGACAAGTTTCACAGAGATGGCTGGGTCAGACCTTCCTCTGCAAGAGAAGGTCAAACAGAAAGACTGCTAGGGTACTATGGACCCAAATCTTTGACAGACTTCTTCTAAGGGGGGTGGGGGGTAATCTGTGATATACACCTGGCAGGCAATCCACTCTCTCTCAGGATCGGCCTGCATCTCAGGACTGGCCTAAAATTTCAGGTCTCTATCAGGTTTGGGGAGTGAACTTTACATTAAATAAATTTTCAAAATGGAAAGATCAAATAAGCTCTGAATCTCTGTGCGAACAGCCCTGTTGAATGAGGAACAGAAGACTATGGAGAAGCCAGAGGGGAAATTTTTTTTCTTCTCATTTTTTTAATTATTATTAAATTTTATTAGTTTTAATGAACATTTACAGAGATTTTGGGTTTTCATTCATTCATTGTTGCATTGTTTTCTCTACCCTCCTACCCAGTTCGTTCTTTCCCCCACCCTTGAATGTGTTTTAATTGTCCAGTTGCCACAGTGCTTTTCAAAGCCAGTTCTGATTAATCTCCTTTGTCAGTGTGTCCTTTGCCATTCCCTATCACTCTTCCCTGAGAGAGACTTCACCCTGATTCATAAGGAAAAGGGGATGGCGTATTCTCTTAGCTACTTCCTGCTGAAAAGGGACGCTGTAGGTTTCAGGGTGAAGATCTTCTCTCACTACTCTAAAGGGCCCCTTTGGCAGTAGGGAACACATAGACTATTACGGAGATTGATTTTGGAATTTAGATGCACTGTTATCAATTGTGCTTAGCGGTACATGTTCATACCCTTGAAGATGTATCATGGAAATGTTGCAACCTAGGAGACACAAATTTAACTAACAAGTTAAAAGTACATGAGTCAAAAATTAAAATGCAATAATATTCCGAGTAGAGGTTCTAATAGTGGCATAAATCAAGTTACAGAGGAAAGGTGGTTCTTACAATAAAAGGCCTATTGACTAGCGCTTTGTCTATTATAGTGTAGAGGTTAGGAACCACAAGATGTAGAGGCTCAGCTATGTCATTTACTGTTCTTAAGTCCTGGAGCACATTCCATCTCCCACTGGGTTGTTTTACAACTCAGAAGTCCGCATGCAAGGCAGAGGTGAAGTAAGGACTGCTTATAAGGTTTCCCATCCATTCCAGCAACTAAGAAATAGTGAGAAGAAGGGGAGCTCTGGTGGCCTAGTGGCAAGAAGCTGTACTGCAATCCCAAAGGTACAGGGTTCGAATCCACCAGATGCTCTGCTGGGGAAGGAGGGACAATTTCCTCCTGTACCAGTCAGATCTGATTTGACAGTACATGCACAAGAAATAATGAAATAAAAATTTAAAAATAAATAAATAAATAGTGAGAAGAGTTGGGACCTCAGAAGGCTTTTAGGAGCAATTAGTAGGCTCTGTGTCCAGGAGAAAACGAATATACTTACCAGTAATGTTATTGCTCACCCACAGCTCTTCTGGGAGGATCTAAATCATTGAAGCGTCCTCCTTTGTTTCCAGCTGGAAGCTGGGGCCTGTCAGTCCTGCTGCCACAAGGACCTGATGTGGGCCACCTTGGCCAGGTGTCCTTCAGAGCCACACTTAAAGCAAGTGAGTGGGAGCTTCCTCTCTACTCCCTTGCCTATCTGTGGCTCTCATCTGTGACACTGTCTACTGAAGTGGCCCAGCTTTCCAAAGCGGAAGCAATTCTGACCTCCTTTATTACCTTTGGGTGGCACTGTATATGAGTAAGACTTCCTTTTCCTGACACAGGCCCTAAACTGGCAGCAATAGCTACCCCAATAATTTTGGCCCAGAGGGGAAATTTTTAATCAACGTTTCCTAAACCTAGGAAAGGGCATCATTCTTGTTTGAGGTGGTCCCGAGGTGCTCTCGCTCAGATAGTATTAAAAGCCATGGTCTTCTTGGAGAGGATCCCAAGTCTGTTCTCCCAAGACACTTGACTGTCAACAAAACCACCCTCTGCGCTGCTCAGAGACCCAGTCTGCTGTGATTAGTTCCCAGCACACTAACTCTACTCCTTTTCTTTTCCTCTGAGTTGGCAGCTAGGACATACATAGTACTTACGTTCTGAGGATTTAAGTCTACTTACTAACATTTACCATGCTCAAGTTCAATGCTAAAACATGAGTTGGAAAGGTTAAAGGATGAAAAGAATAAAAAGGTAAGGTCAAGAATAGTAAAGTAAAGTTTAGTAACTGGAGCTGTAGGGCCAAAGCGACTGTTGGCAGATGGGGGATTTGGAACAGTACTACTCCACTGTACCTCCTACCATCAGAACTACTAGTCCCTCTTCAGGGAGCAAAAGGGACATGCTCTGGGGTATCCTGTGAATACAAAGAAGAGCTTTCTTCCTTCTGGTCAACTCCCTCGTCTTCATTAGGTAGAAGGGGCATTATACTTTGGCATGGCAGTTTAGGTAAACAAGGGAAGGACTGATTTCCTGTTGGATCCAGCAAACATCTCACGAACAGTAACAACATTATACTCACACATGGAGCTAATAGTCTGTGAAAGAATGTGTAGCTAGGAGGGCTGTGTGTGTGTGGTGACTGATGGCTAGATTCAGGCAGGGAAGGTGCCCACCACTTCTTACTGGATCTAGTTTCTGAGAGGGCCCGGAAAAGCAGACCAGGCAGGCAGCCACTGGCTCTGGGGTCAGCCTTGCTTGCCCACATCACACATTTGATGGGTGCAGCCAGTTCTGCTTCTTGGAAAAAGCTATACAAGGGTTGTGCTGTTTTACTGCTGAGCTCAAAAGGGAAGGACATAGGAAGACCAGTGGCTGGCATGACTTTTAACTAGATGAGGAATGTTAGCAGAATATCAACCACCAAATTCCAGACAGAATAAAAAAAATGTCATGACTTTCACCTCAGCATACATTCGTCTCAGAGAAACTAAAGTGCTAGAAACCTTGGCTTACTATTCTGAAGCTTCATATCTGCAGTCTATACAGACCTTCACTCTACAAGGAATACATGAGAACTCATGGGATTGTACCTATCTACTCCAAATTCCAGGTGACCTGAGATTTAGATGATCAACAGAGAGAAAAGAACGCACACACTCGGCAGAGCACATTAGCTGTCTTCCAAGCCATCTAACAGAAAAGCCCATGCTTACTGCTCATCACAGGCACTGTTCTGATGTGGCTAAATATCTGATTCCTCTGTGGGCAAGCTGAATGTGGTCTGTGCTGGACCACAGCAGGCCCTCTTACTTCCACGCAGTCTTCTAAAAAAGAGTTATCATCATCATCGACTACTGGGAAAATACAGTTTAAAAGTACATTCTCTATTAACAGAAGAACTAGCACTTCACAGATGTCACTGTAGGCTGAAACAGAGAGAAATCCTTCCCTAGTGTGGTTAGAAGGGTAATTCTGAAAGTTAGAGGTGGAAACTCTGGGGCTGAAAACCAACCCAACCCACAGAATACCAGCTGACAGATAACATTAGCATGACAATAAAAATTACTCCTTGAAATTATAAGAATGTTAGTTAGCTAAGAAATACTGGGCTATATATCACCATTAGTAATGTTTTTAAAAGTGACAATGTTTTTGAAAAGGGGGAAGCAGCATCAAAAACAAGTGATAAGAGCAAGAATCTCTTTCTGCTTAAGGTTATGGTAGGAAGCTTGGCGGCCCAATGGTTAAGTGCTTTAGCTGCTAAGGAAAGGTTCTGAATGTAAACACACCAACTGTTCCTCAGGAGAAGGATGTGTCAGGAGAAGGATGTGCTAGTCTGCTTCCATAAAGCGATGCACCGCCTTCAACACCCTTCGGGGTAGTTCTACTGTCCTATAAGGTCTAAGTTGTAACTGACTCTACAGCAGTGGGTTGGTTTTTTGTGCCAGGGTCATTTTTAGCTTTGAGGAATCAAAATGGAGCAAACGTATATGCTTCAAAGGTGTACTGGTGCATATGAAGCCTAGCTGTAATTCTCTGCATTTCCTTTCAAATACAGGCCTGGCTATGTGTAACTACAAGCTAAAGAGAGGGCCACTGGACTAAGCAATAGGACAAAAGGGTCAAGAAGACTCATTTAATCTCCCAAACTTTGCAAAGAGGCACCAAACACGAACGAGGGACACTGGCAGAAGTGACCAAGAAAGAAAAAAGCCTTGCTGGGAGGCTGCAAGGGGGCTCTAAGACCAGAATAGCAGCTGGGATTGTAGGGTCAGGACTAAGACTCAAGGTCAGTGTCATCTGAGTAATGTTTGAACAGAGGTTCATTCCACCATGTTCTAGGCAATGCTAATAATCCATCATTGTCAAGGACATTAAATCATTAAAAAATGAGACTGTTGCCCTAGTTGAAAATACAATGAGCCACTGTTTTCTGCTGCCTCAGCATCCTAACGTCTAGCACTACCATCTCCCCAGTGCAGAAATGCTTTCCGAAAATACCGAGAACGCGGCTATGAGATGGGTAACAGCCGGAGTTAATGTCGCGACTTGTTCATGTCCTTTAGGAAATCTCTCTCTGCTCAGCGGTGTTTGTTTTATCCTGGCTGCTCTTCATTGTAACGGATGGTCTGGTACTGCTTGCCAAGTGCCTCTGGCACAGGCTGAGAAGATCATACCAAGAACATGCTGTGTGCCAGATGCTTTCTGCAGGATGTCAGCTCTGATGGAGGTGGGGAGAGGAAAGAGGTGTGGGGTGCAGATGTATATCAAACAATCTCAGGACAGACACTTTGGTACACTCTGAGACAGAAAGATGGCCAGCTTCCTACTCAGAGGGTTTCAATGAAAGCAAAAGATCCATTTAACTCTTGAGCATCATTTTAACAATGATGAAGAGAGGAAAAATTGCTCCTTTATTTCTTTGTGAGAATTAAAAAACTGACAAACACCAGAGTGATAATGAAGTAAAATGGACTTTAATGTCTCCCTCTCACAACATGGTATGACTGCTTGAACTCGAACTGGTGCACAGCTCCCAAGAATGAAGCAGGCATGCCCCCTTGATGTACTACAGCTGAAGAGCCCATGCACTCAGCTCAGTAGGAACTCTGGAGTCCCAACATCCACATATGCTGCACTTCACCAGTTTTGGAGTTCTGGAACTGGCAGCTTACAGTCTGAGTACCAAGTACACGGGATACTGCTTTGTCTCTGTGCTGACAACTTCCCCCACCAATGTTGTTCTCAGCTTTATGAGGTACCAAGGAAAGCCCTCCAGGCCTGTGCAGGCCCTCGGTCTCCCATGGGTGCAGGCTTGAATCCTCTGCTCCATCATGGTTTCCTTAAACCATTCTGGAAGTGTGACCTGGCTAGCGTGACTACCCCAGCCCAGGGGACTTGTGGAAGCCCTATCTTTCATGATTCTTCCAGGTTGTAACTCTCTTCTGTGCCCACAACAGGAAGGCAATTCCAAAGCACTGCCTTCTGGAATGAAGACAGACAGGAATCCATCTTCTTTCTACACCTAGTCAGTGCTTGTCTTGATGGTTTTACTTCTTTCATTAATACGCACATCTGCAAGTATGAAGAGCTCTGGAAGGGTCTTCTTATCTGAAGACTATGGAAACATTTTCTGAATTCATGGAATTATCCTTTTCACTGAGTGTTGTTCAAGCAGCAGACTGTTCTCTGCCTTCCCAGATGTCTTCCCGTTGCTTGGCTTCCAACCGTTTTTTCTCTATAAACAAAGGCAGAGTTAATATGACTGTATATTTCACTTACTCTCCTTTACCCCAAATTACAAAGCAGACCATAATCTGGTGTGCTTCCTCTTACCTGATTCCAAGAGGTAACATCTTTAACTTTACAAGTGTTTTTTAAATAGAAAACACCACCACTCCCTGGTTTTTACATCTACTAATAAACAATAATAAAAGGAAAATATGAGGCTAATAGAAATTTTTTAAAATATGAACTAAAAATAAAAAATATGCACTAGAACAGATGTGGGAAAGGACTGCCTGAAATGAATGTATAATTGGGAATTTTGTCTGACAATTACAACACAGACTGGGGGGTAGAGGAGGGAGGAAAAATGTGCAAATGAACAAATGAAAACCCACCCTTTCTGTAAACTTTCATTAAAGTCACAATTTAAAAAAAAATCTACAAGGATACAGATTTTACTCTTGTTGATATGTATTTTAGAATTTAGGCAGAATTGTATTTTAATTCTACTTTTCAACTGTGTTTATTGCTTACTCTAGTTTATTGATCTTCACAAATATTTCAATAAGGATCAAGAATACAATTCAATTTTTCTCGTCTATCTTCTTAAATGGAAATGGAGCCACAGAACTTTGATGATCGCGTCACACTTAAACCTTACTAAAAAAGTACTCAAAAGTATAAAGAACTTCAAAACAAGGAAATCTCAAAGCACTTTCAGAAGTCAAAATCCACAATTTCAATACAGAAATATGACTAAATAAATCAGAAGAGAAGTAGGGAGTATTTATTTTTTTTAAAAGTACAAATTTCGGTTCTCTGATGTTCAATTTTTAATACGGATGCTCAGTTTTCCAGTTAACACTTCCACCGAGAGCTGGAAAAATGTGAACTACACACAGTGACAAAAGCAGCTCATTAGGTGTCACAAGGACCTACTCCAATCTCCTGGTCAGTCATTCATATATTAGGATAAAACACAGATAAGCCTTGGCACTTCCTTCTAACGCCTATTTTAAATGGATAATAGAAGTAAAAGAGTTTTCAAGTCATAAACCAGAAAGACTACAGAAATCCAGGTGAGTTAGTTAACACTTGCCATTCTGACAAAGCTTTCCAAATCAGAATCTCTTGCAAAATGCCTACATGATACCTGACTGCACTTTAAGGTTAAAGAACTTAATTAGAAAGCTGACTGGCACTTGGAAATATAAGAAGGAGAAATCTGCTGCTATTTGGGCACCATCTTGTGGCATTATCTGAATACAGCAGCAAGGTTACAAGAGGCAAAAGTTGGGGGGGAGGTAAATTCAGATTGAAAGGTTCATCAAGTGCTCTGTGACTCAGCTCTGCATTCCCCAGTAGACATCACCAAGGATAAGTGTCTTTCTGAAGGACTCAGATTACTTCGTGAGGCACTGTGGTTTCAACTTTTACAAAGAGAGAAGGTGGGAAGGAATTTAAAAGGAAACCTTGTTGGAGGAAAGTGCCTAGAAGAACTAGTTCTAGAATCTAAGAAAAAGTAAAAAACAAGAAAAGTATATTTTTAGAAGTAAAAATTTTCAATACATTTAGAAACTTTAATTAAAAAGGTAATAAAGGAAATGGCACAAAAGATAAAGAAATCTAAGAGTACTAGACAAATATGATGACAGGCTAACATCCACAACTCCAAAATAAAAACAGCTTTGAGTTCTAAAAACAAAGTTGTTGCTGTTTTGTGTTACGTGCCCTCTTTATTTTGAGAGGCAAAAGTCATTTGGTGGTAGGCCACGTAGACTGTTTCTGGTCTTGATAGATTGCACTCAGTGAGAATAGTAAAAATATTAATGTTAATGTTTTGATTTTGATCCCAATGGTGGTGTTATGAAGCAGGGGATTTAAAAAACTCAAACAAAAAAATGCAAACTCAATGCCATCAAGTTGGAACAGACTGACATATCACCTTCTAGCGGGTAAATCACACAGGAGATTGCTCATCTTTCTCCCTCTAAATGACTGGTGGATTTGAACTGCCAGGGTTATGACCTTTGGCATCACAACTCCCTATTAGATTAGGCCATCAGAGCTCCCTAAAACTAGCAGAGATACCATCAAACCTTTCCCAAATCTGAAGAGTTGAGAATTTGGAAATCGTTTCACCCCAAATGCCTGTAGATATTTAGAGCATAGTAGAGGAAATTCTGGTGGTAAACCATATGCGGAAACTAGTAAGACTAGAGGGCGTAGTCTGTAGGGAGTTGTATTGCTAAGGCAAAGGCCATGTCTTTCAGTGGTTCAAATCTACCAGTGGCTCCAGAGAAAGATGAGCAATCCCTTCTCCATTTACTGCCTTGGAAAGCTGCTGGCACGTAAATGGTGTGTTGGTTCTGACTTGACAGTAATGAGGTAAGTTTTGGTAAGAGTAGAGAGACAAACTGAGAAATAGTAGAAATCAGAGGCATAAATCTAGAAATGTCAAACATGAAAAGCAAATAAAAATATAGGTTAAAATAGACCGTAAAAATAATTACATCATTTTAAAGATGAGTAAACAGAAACTTTGAGGGGTTAAGTGACTTGGCTAAGGTTATACAATCAGAGAAAGAACTGAAGTTGGAATCCAGGTCTTTAATGATTAAACAAACATATTTATACTATCTTGACATCTTAAAATAGGATCTGAAAATACCTACAAAGAAATGGGGAAATGTACTGACAGAAAGATAAAGAAACATGTCTCTCATTAGATAGAAAGAAAAGCTGATAATAGCTGGAAGAAGCATGAAAAGAATTCCCATTAATTTTTCCTCTAACCATTTAAAAAAGTAAACTAAGTAAAGAGGAAGCCCAAACAGCAGTTATAAGAGCAAGGAATTAAGGAAGAATAGAATTAGTATGAAATGATTAACCTAAAACATTAATATCAGCTGACCCTCAAGACTTTCATTCCCTGGTATAATAAAAAATTGACAGAAGACTGTAATAAACAAATTGAAATCACGGTGTGGTCAGCCACCACTTCTCACTGAGAGAAAAGGAGGTATTAGAAATTGAAAAAAGGCCAGCTTAATGTCATGTTTTAAAAAAAGTAATAAAGAAAAGGGATGATCCTGTAAATTAAAGACTTTCAAACTTTAGTTCTACACCTAAGGAAATAATTGGGGGGAAATAAAAATCCATTTGTAACCACCTACAGAGTAATAATCAACATGCTTTGTTAAGAACAAGTCTGGTCAAACTAATCTAATTGCCTTCTTTTATGGAGTGACACTCCTGCTAGATCAAGGAGAAGTAATAAAAGCAACCTCTTAATATTTAGCAAGGTTTTAGATTTGCCAAACATTCATATAATAATAAGTATACTGGGAAAATATAGTCTGGACCACGTAAGTGTTAAGAGGGCAATTAACTCTGGAGAGTAGAATGTCTATCAATGTACCAGAGTCAATACAACAACTATGTATTATTTAGCTAGAGCTGGTGACTATTCAGCTAATCCTAGTCATCATTTTTGATCTAGTTGAGGAATTTAAATTTATTAAATAGATCACACACACACCCCCACCCACCTCCCACGATAAATATGGTATCTAAGAGAAAAGAAAAGACACAGACACACAATAAAATGTGGTTAGGAATGAAGAGAACACCACACATCAGATGAGAAAAGATAAAAAAAAAATGCCTAAAAGTTCCAGAATTTAGGTCGGTGATGTGTGACTGCCCCTTAACACGTTGCCGCAAATGACAGTAATACATCGGGGGGGGGGGGGGGGGGGGGGAGTGTTTCTAAACACAGTCGTCAATTTAAAAGTGTGCGGCGACGTGTTAAGGACAACAGCCATGACTAAATCTTATTTCAGTTGAGTTTGTACGTCCTATACAAACAATTTTAGTTTTTAGTTCTTGGTGATTTTAATCAGGAAAAGTAGGTAATCAAATTATTTACTTATTCTGCCTTTCAGGCTCATGACTCATAAAACAGTCCTTTAGAAACAGCCAACTAATCACCTATCCTCAAGAGGAAAATGAAAGTCCATTATGAATTAAAGCTATAGTAGGTTTTGAAAATCAAAGAGCAGTTTATTCTGGGGTATAATGTTTATTCTGGGGTGTACCTCCAGTTTTAGGTGGCAACCAAGTAATCTGATGAAAAAAAAAGATTTTCTTTATATTACAGAATGTCTAAATTAGCAAGTGCTGCTATAACAGAAATACTAGTGGGTGACTTAAATTTCTTTTCTCACAGGTTATGAGGTTAAACGTCTAAATTGAGGGTACTGGCTGTGAGGGAAGGCCTTTGCCTATGTTCCTCCTGGGTGATCTTCATGTGGTCTGGCTCTCTCTTCCCTGTTTCCTAGTGTGCATGTGTAATTTCTTCTAAATCTCAAAAGATGGCTCTTACACTAATCCTGTCTCATTCATGTAACAAGACCAACTCATTACCAAATGGGTTTATAACCACAGACATGTTGTTGTTTTTGTTGTTATGCACCAAAGAGTCAGAACTAACTCACCCTTCGGCAGGTTTTAAAAGACAATTACATGAGAGGAGACTGCCCATCCTTCTGTGAAGCAGCTGGTGGCCTCGAACAGTGTGCCTTTAGGATTACAGGCAGTTTTTTGCCACTAGGTTACAAGAGGTCCCTAATCACAGGCATAGAGGTTAGGATCTATAATGAACAATTTTAAAGGGTCCCACAATGTAATACACAACACTGAATAGGGTGCTTAATATAGTCGAGCATGAATCCATGTTATTACTTATTGTTACTTATTATCCAATCAGAACTGACTGACAGCTACAGCAGGTTTCCCCAGGAAGCAGCTGGTGGATTCGAACTGTGTCTTTGTGTTGGCAGATAAGCTCCTTATCACCAGGCCACCAGAGCTTCCTAGTTAAGTCAAATGAAAAGCACTCCAGAATGATCTATTTTCATTTTCCCCATCTTAGCTGTTATTGTTAGGTGCCATCGAGTACAGTATGACTCACAGTGACTCTATGAACAACAGACCTGTCCTATCCTG